CATTTCTGGCAGGCCGACCTGAGCCAAGAGAATCTCGGTCTGACATCGGACGCATACCGCCACTTGCGCGAGCGGGTCGACGTGGTCGTGCATAATGCGTGGATGGTGAACTTCAATCTGCCCCTTTCGAGCTTCGAGACCCAGTTGGAGGGGACACAGCGCCTGCTGGCCTTGATTGGGGGCTCGACCCGCCAGGCGGCCCTTCATTTTATTTCGTCGATTGCCGCCGTCAGTGGTTGCAGGTCGGATGCGCCGGTCACCGCCAGCCATATCACCGAAACGCTGCATGACTCGTCCTTAGTCCTTAATCAAGGTTATGCGGAGTCGAAATTTGCGGCCGAGGTTCTCTGCGACCTGTTCGCACAGGAGCGCCAGAACACGATCGCCATTCATCGAGTAGGTCAATTGGCAGGCCCATCGTATGCAGAGGCGGGCATGTGGACTTCCCGTGACTGGTTTCCTGCCCTGATCCGGACCTCCCACACCATGGGAGAGCTGCCTGACAGCCTGGGATCGATTCCCGTGGATTGGGTTCCAATTGTGAGTTAGCTGTTGGGAAGATAGCTTAACCGGGGAAAGACTGACATGGTGTCTAGGATACCGCTGCTCGAAGCATCACCCAGATCATCCTCGCACGATGTGGTGTCGACTCATTGTGTTCGGCCCCTGCACGCCATACGAAGGTCTATCATATCGTCAACCCGCATACCAGCCCCTGGGACTCACTGGCGCAGGTGGCGAGTCGTGCCTGCAATGCCAAGATCATCCCCCTCAGAGACTGGATCCAGAGCCTGGAACGACGGCTGTCAGACCCGAACATGGCGCAAACTACCTTGCAAGACATGCCTGCGGCATCACTTATGGACTTCTTCGCCGCGCTAGCAAACTCTCAGGGCTGGGTACGGCCTCCTGCGGATACTAGCAATGCGCAGAAGTACAGTGCTGCCTTGCGCGGGCTGGGACCGGTAGATGCTCCCTTGATGGAAGTGTGGTTGCGACAGTGGAAGGGTTGGATACCAGCGCTGCATATCTAGAACTCGGCCTTTTCGTTTTGCCTCTATGGGAGTGAAAGTGTGTGAACACATGGGGGCCGCGGGAGTGGCTAGATCCGAGTTAAAACCAATTTCCAAGCACTCGGCTACTGATATTCATGACAAACAATGTGCAACCTGTTGCTTTGTTGTATATTAGGACTAAAATCTCTTTCCCGGAATCATACCCTCAACCTGACGGCGCCAGTATGCAGTAAATCTTTTTGCAGGCCGAGGCCAATCAGCTCTTCGACGGCATCACACATTTACACAAAGGAAGAAGTATGCACAGGACGCATAGCCACGAATGTCCTCCGATGTGGAGTCTCTTTAGCTCCTATGTTGGCACCACACACAAGCTTTTTCATTGCATTCAAACCAAGAACCCGGTTTGGAATGGATCATCAGGATCTAACCGCACCTGACGCTCGCCTGTAATCCACGCTCTGCCCCGTATCGTCGGCAGCACCGCATCCACATCCCCGACTGTCTGCACTCCGCGTATGGTACCAACGAATTCAGTATCGATGATACTGCGGAAGGTGACTTTTCCCCCAACTTGTACCTGTCCTCGTGCGTGGAGGACGGCCAGACGAGAGGAGCTTCCCGTCCCGCAGGGACTCCGATCCAGCCTCCCCGGCGTGACAATGACCGTATGCCTCACCGAAAGCCCACCATCCTGCTCAGCAAGCGGCTCACTGATAATCACATTATTAATGCCCCGGATAGCCGGGTTCTCCGGGTGCGTGGGCGTACATTGCGCCAGCACCGCCGCCTTCAGCTGCTGACCCAACTCGACCAGCCGGTCTTTCTCAGCCGTCTGAACCGGAACATTCCCCAGATCCTTCGCCTGGGCGATCACGTACCACTGACCCCCGTATGCGATATCCACCCGGACACTTCCCACGCCCGGAATCAAGACCTCCATGTCGAGCGCGTACACAAACGCAGGCACGTTGTCGAACGAGACGGACTTGCACCGGCCCTCGGAGCACTCGGCTGTGGCCGTGACCAGGCCGGCCGCCGTGTCCAGCTTCACCTCAGTGGTGGGCTCTTGCATCGGGATCATCCCGGTCTCGAGAAGGACGGTGGTGGTGCAGATGGTGTTGGACCCGGACATGGGGACCCAGTCGCCCGGGGCCATGATCAGGAAGCCGGCGTCGGCGCGCGGGTCGCACGGCGGGAGGACGAGGTTGACGCTCATCTCGAGCCGACCCCGGGGCTCGTGGAGGATCAGCCGGCGCAGGTCGTCGTGCTCGGCCATGGAGCGCACGAGCTTGGCGTGCATCGTCGGCGCGGGGAGGTCGAGCACGCCGCCGACGATCACGTCGCCGACTTCGCCTTCGCAGTGGCAGCATACCAGGGAGATGTTGCGGCGGGATCGCATTCTTCTTGGTTTCGTCGGCGGTTGTGCTTCGCGCTGGATTGGTTGCTAAGAACAGGGCTATAGTTGAGGTAGGTACGGTAGAGGTCGGGTGCTGGGCCAAATTTGAGATCGGGTGTAGCAAACCTTTCTTATCAACGAACGTTGGCGGAACACAGCTTGCATGTTTCTTGGAAAGCAAGCTCTGGGGCGAGTCGGTTAGGTTCTGTGACATTTCCGAGGGGTTCCGGAAGCTCTTTCCTAACCTGTTTGCTGCGCAGGGCGCTTTTGCCACGGATCCGTAAGATCACCAATTCTGGACATTGATCAGTGTCAGGGGCAAATGGCCAGTGGGCTTATCTTTCATGTGAACTGACAGTGCGATACGATAGGCAGGACCTGTGAATGTGCATTATCTTGCCAAATCAATCCATCGATGTTGCCACCCTGCTGCGAACCTGCGGTCTATACATACTATCCAGAAATCCTCACGATACTAAAATCACTATCACAAATTATACTTGCAAGAAGTGAGATGCACACAAAATTATGGTACTGATCCGAGGACCCATGAAAAGGCGGGGAAATTGGCGGGGATGAAAGCCCTGACTGAGATTGGCGTGACAGCCCAATTTTGGCAAGTGGTTCCGGCTGCTGTTCAGCCTATCGGACTCTATACCTATACAGAAGACAGCTTCAGTTGTTGGCTATGTAAATACTCCAACCATAAACCATTTTTTTCTGGGGATATCCAACGCAAAGTTCAATCGTTCAATCGTTCATTCACAGTCATCCACCAAAATGCCACACGTGGGCATTATCGGCTCGGGTATCATCGGCCTTCTGTCGGCTCTGGCCCTCACCGATGCCGGCTACCAAGTGACCATCATGGCCCGCGATCTCCCGGGCGATGAGACCCAAGACTGGGCCAGTCCTTGGTGAGATTCTCTGTCTCCCCCCCCAAAAATGTTTATTTCTTCTTACTGAGCTAGCTGCTAAACTACGACGCAACAGGGCCGGCGTATCGATCTTCCCGCACCCCGACGCAGGCGGCGAATCCCTCCAGACCGAGAACTTCAAATACTTCTGGGCATTAGCACATCGCGATCCAACGAGCGGTGTTCAAGTAGGTCAGCCACTCACTCGGAGTGCACATCCTGCTCGTACCATGAACCCCCCACTAACCCGTCCCCTATGATATGGCCAGGTCATAAAAGCAACGGAACACTACGACGACCGCGACGACGATTCCACCATCTGGTACAAGACGGTCGTACCGCGCTACCGTCTGATCCCAAAGGAAAAGCTACCCGATGGAGTGAAGCTCGGATTCACATATACCTCCATGACGATCAACCCCGCATACCTCCTCCCATGGATCCAAAAGCAGCTGCAAGCTCGGGGGGTGACCTTCATCCGGAAGACACTGAGCTCGATCGAAGAAGCTAAGAAGATCACCGGAGCGAAAGTCATTGTCCACGCCTCCGGGCTGGGTGCTTACACTCTCTCCGGCGACAAGAACGTGGAGGCGATCCGCGGACAGACCATGTTCGTCAAGACGGACTTTGTCGACCAGTTGATGATGCATCAGGGCTCGCACTACACCTACGTTATTCCTCGGATGTTCACGAATGGTGCGATCATCGGAGGCGTGAGCCAGCCTGGAAATCTAGATCGTAACGTGGATACAGATCTACGTGCGGATATCCTCCGGCGGGTGAATACGATGACGAATGGCGGTCTGTTGTCGGTTGATCTGGAGAACGATGTCCAAAAGGATATTGTCGCCTTTCGGCCTGGGAGAAAAGGGGGTTATCGGCTGGAAGTCGAGGGGGATGTCGTACATGCCTACGGGTTTGCCGGGCTGGGGTATATCTTTAGTTACGGCGTGGCGTTGAAGGTCCGGGAGCTGGTTGACTCGATTGTGTGGCAGGATGAGGTTCCAAGGAGTCGTCTTTGATATGCTTTTGTGGGGGCATGCTGTACCGGCCTGACGAAAAGGGGAAGCATCCACGGTTGAAATGGCTACATGAAGCACATTATGCATGATTCTCACGGGAAGGAGGAGCCATACAGAGCTATCAATAAGTCAGGGGAGGCGTACCTAGGCTGGACATAGTTCTCGTGTTACAGAAGATAATTGGGCAAGTAAACGTAAAGCAGGGGAGCACTTGCCTATCAGGCTTCTGCCTAGATCTTGATAGATTTGCCACCAAATCTACTTTGCCTGCAATCAAGACTTCTCCTCTAGATAACTTCCAGGTGATACGCATCTCGATAAGAGACCTAGTTCGGGAACAAACATGTAACTGGTTATTCACGCCGCATGGGGATGATCTCCTAGCCCCACCCTCGGCGTAAATGTGCAATGGGGACATGAAGCACTCATCATACTCTTCTTCTCCGGAAGGAGTTTCCATATTCTCTCCTTTATCTGCTTCCCCGCATCCCCATATCTCACAGATGGGCCACACTAAGCGCAATCAAGCAATAACCGGGGATGCGCCAGGTCTAGATAATTGGTGCACCCGTAGGGGTATTGAAATGCCACTTGTCCAGAATCCATGTCTATGTTTTCTACACCTCCTACCAACGTTATGTCTACCATGAAGAAACAAGAAGCCTCTGATCCTGACCGGGACAGCATTGCCCCTGCGCAATCACAGATTGATGAAGCATCTAGCGAGCCGATTCAAGATGATGCTGTATTCGGTGAGATCCGTGAAGGGGATACCAACTATCGGAATGTGAGGTCTTTGAGAATTTCTTCAAGAATCAACCCATCAAACTGACACAGCCTAGGTGAGCTGGCTGGGAACCACAGCTCTCATGATTAAAACTCAAATCGGCCTGGGAGTTCTTTCGATGCCTAAAGTCTTCGATATCCTTGGAATAGTGCCCGGAATAATCCTTCTTCTAACGATCGCCGGGATGACATCTTGGTCGAACTGGATGGTGGGTGTCTTCAAACTACGCCACCCCAATGTTTATGGGATTGACGACGTGGGGAAAATGATGTTTGGACGCTTTGGCTATGAATTACTCGGTGCAGCATACACTTTGTGTGAGAGCTTACTTTTCAAGATGATTTTGACCCGGGCTCTAACCTCTTGCTAGACTGGATCTTTGTTGGTGGTTCGGCTCTGTTGAGCATCTCGATTTCCCTGAACGCACTCTCTGACCACGGGGCTTGCACTGCAGTCTTCGTGGCTGTCGCTGCCATTATTGGATTGATCTTCTCCAGCATCCAAACCCTTGGTCGTATCAGCTGGTTGGCCTGGGTAGGTGCTGCCTGCATCATTACTGCAGGTATGTTGAGCTGAGTCCCTCCAAATATTCATTTGAAACTAAATGATCGCCAGTCTTTATCCTCACGATCGCCGTTGGAATCCAAGGTCATGCTCCCATGACAGACGGCGTGATCCCAGCGCCAGATTACAAACTCTTTGGCAATCCGACCTTTGTCGAGGCCATGACTGCTCTCTCCACCATCTCCTTGACCTACGCGGGAACCCCGGCGTTCTTCAACATCGTCTCGGAGATGCGTGACCCGCGACACTTCACTCGAGCCCTAACCATCTGTCAAGTCACTGTCACGGTCATTTACATTGTAGTCGGAACAGTCGTGTACTACTACTGCGGATCGCATGTTGCATCACCCGCTCTGGGTTCTGCGGGGATCTTGATCAAGAAGATCAGCTACGGATTCGCTCTTCCGGGGCTGGCTGTCTCCGCCACTCTCATGCTTCATGTGAGTCTGCGCTGCCGATTCCAACATCTTGACTGATGTTCCAACATCACTAACATTACACAAGTTACCCGCTAAACACATCTTTATCCGCATTCTTCGGGGCACCAGACACCTGACCGGCCAGACTCGGACCCACTGGATCGTGTGGCTCGGGTCCACCTTTACGGTGACCTCGGTCGCATATATCGTCGCAAGCAGCATCCCGGTCTTTAGCGATCTGGTATCACTTGTGGGGGCTCTTCTCGCCACGTCGTTATGCTTTCAACCGATGGGATGTATGTGGCTGTATGACAACTGGGGGCCGGGCCGGCAGAAGAAGTCTCTGCGGTGGTGCTTGATGGTTGCCTGGTGTATCTTTGTCATCCTGACCGGCTTCTTCTTGACGATAGGGGGAACATACAGCTCCATAGTGAGCATCATTTCGTCTTACGAGAAGACCGGGGGGTCCTCTGCCTGGTCTTGCGCCAATAATGATAACTAGGGAACCCTGGGTACTGTTGAATCTGTGCATTTATGTATATAAGCGGGCAACAGCAGGACAGTGACTGTCTCTTGTACCTAGTTCCAGTGAGACAATCGAGTGAAGCTTTTTGAAAGTTGTTGTGCATACGTTCAACCCTTCCAGGAGAGATCCTAGTATTAGGGCTACTGTCCCCAAACCCAGTAGATGTCTTTTCTCATTGCTCTAAAATCGAGCCAAAAGCTCTTCTGCAGGCTTATGTTCTCAGAAAGTGGTTTACTTTCATAAGCTGTTAGGGCCCTGTCCTCACTTGCAGACATCAACACACCTTTTGCGATCGGAGGCTCCGGTCGGGTGCATACCAAGTACTGTGCACATATGACGTTGAGGTTCGCTTCCCAATAGGCCCTGTCTGGGTATAAGTATAACGACCTCCAGGCTATAGGGAGTAGTTCACAAAATCGGAAAGACATCCTTATCAGATGATGTGTTCAGATCTACCCCAGCTTTCAGGGCTGACGCCCAACCTTCCGAATTCGGAGTTCCGCGGAACCACCTGCCAACTCAGGCGATCAACTGGAGGGGCAGCTTGGAAACATCCCCCATCGATGAATTTGTCGCCAGAAACTCGAGGTACTTAAGTGAGTACCAGTCCGAGCTGTGTTTAATGACATCTCAATCAGAAACCTATTACTTTCAATCCTGAATTGTGCTCAGTCCTCTCTCCTCCACCCCAGAACCCATCGTCGATCCAGACCGTAACCATCCACCACGATAACTACAATCAACAGCACAATGGCCGACCTCCACGGAATCATGGTGGCGCTGATCACCCCCTTCACCGACGACCAGACGGCGATCGACGCCCCGCGCCTCCAGGCCCTGATCGAGCGCCTGATCAAAGCCGGCGTGCACGGGCTCGTCCCCGGCGGCAGCACCGGCGAATTCACCGCCATGACCATCCCCGAGCGCAAACAACTGACCGAGCTCGTCGTCAAGTATGCGGACGGCCGCGTGCCCGTCATCGCCGGCACGGGGGCCCTCACCACGCGGGAGACGCTGGAGCTCTCCCTGCACGCCGCCGAGGCCGGCGCCACAGCGCTGATGGTGGTGCCCCCCTTCTACGACGCAGTCACCCTAACCGAACTCAAGACCCTGATGGCCGAGATCACGCAAGCGACGCAGCTGCCCATCGTGTACTACAACATCCCCTCCGCCACGGGGCTGAAACTGACGCCCGCGGAGCTGGCGAGTCTGTCGGAGGTGGGCGTGCGCTACCTGAAGGATACGTCGGGCGACGCGCCGGCCCTGACGGAGATGCTGTTCGGGCTGTCGGATCGGATCACCGCGTTCAACGGCTGGGACACGCTGACCTTCTACGGGCTGGCGGCGGGCGCGCGTGGCGGGGTCTGGGGCGCGGCCAACATCATCCCCGAGCTGGCGGTCGAGCTGTGGGAGGCGGTCGCCGTGCGCGGCGATCTGGCCCGGGGCCGCGAGCTGTGGGCCAAGGCCTGGCCCGTCTGCAAGTTCCTCGAGTCCCATAACTATGCCGCCGCCGTCAAGACGGGGCTGGAGTTGACGGGGACCCCCACCGGTGGCGTGCGCAGGCCGTTTCACATGTTGGGGACGGAGGCGCAGGAGGAGTTTAAGGTGCTGATTCAGGGGGCTGGGGTGAAGACTGTTTAACTTATTGTTTTCAAGATGAATATATGCGCGGGTTTGTTTTGCGCATATGTCAATGAATGTCCAAAGATTGATGCTCTTGATGCTTGGTTGTAGCAGGTTCAGTCCACTGGTATGGTACGCTCAAAGTCCGGATGCGGCCAAAGCTGGATTGAATCTCGTCATGTCATAGTATGCGAGAGGTATTTTGTCTCCAGGCGGAAGTGTAGTGCGGAGACAGTGATCCTACCGGACGAGGTTATATGGGACCCATCCTGCAGATCATTTCTGATGACCTTATCACAGAATCAACAGACAAGTGTCGGATCTTAGCGGCGACGCTAGAAAGAATGTACAGTCCAGACGTAGCTAAAAATACCTTGGAGCCTCAGCCTCGCCGTGCTTGCCGTGATAGCCGGCGCCCTAGTCAGGCACCCCTGTCAATGAGTTCCACTCCAGACAATGACCTATAGGCCCAGAGTCACGTTATAATGACCATATTCCCGTTCATACGATTGTGATAAGGGAGGAAAAGTATGACCCACGAGAGCAAAAAGGAGAAGGATACTCAAGCATGCCATTCAGTAGTGGGGATCGCGCGACCGTCACAAGCTCTCCGCGCACTGACCCGACCCTTGCCCCGGTCGCCACTTACTTGCTTACTTACTTGGACAAGCGACCCGCCCGATGGTGTTGTCTTTTCCATCCTTGTTCTAGACCTCGGCATCGCCCCATTCGGGAAGAGGGGTTCGCTTTCCACTGATTGGGTGATTTTCAAGAGCCGGTACGCGCGAATGGTGTTTGCTTTTCGGGTACCGTGCTCTCGGGAATGAGGGGAACATTTAGGTCAGTGGCGCTGACGCAGCGCTACTTGCGGGCTGTCTCGTGTTTGCTTGGGGGTATAGTGGACGTTGCGGGCTGGGATCCTGGAGCTCGACACGTACGCGTGCCAGGATCATCCGCTGTCGACTGGGCTGGGAATCTTGGTAGTGTGATGATGACGGCAGCGAGGCACCGTGTCTATTCGAGGGTTGGGAAATTGCGGAAGGCGCTCCGTTATTGACGTTGAATCCGTTCAAGGTAGTGCACTACATGACTCTGGAGTCTTGTATATAGGCATGAACTCGAGCGAGATTGTGCTGAGTAAGACAACTAGGTTGCCCAGGCGATTGAACATAAGGACAGGTCTGGATTCTAACTCTTATGAGATAAAAGTGGCATGATAGAGAGATATGTTTGTTCCAAACCGAGTTAGAGATCTCAAGGGCCCTTAGTGAAGATTCATTGCATGAAGATCATTGAAATATGTAGTGTACCCGTGGAGAGACCCTTGATGTAGGGCAGGTTTCCTGATCCCAGATGATAAAGTAGGACAGGAAGAGCAGGGCAATGAGGGAACCGAGCCTCTCACGTCAGAGAAGGTCAGCATGATACTGACGGTACATAACATATCATTGGGTAGAAGTCATCCTCCTACTTCTTCGCGTCCTGGTTCTCTGACTAGCGACGCATTAACCTGACCCGGTCGGATTGAGAATGGATCCAGCCATGCCAGGAAGTCGATGCAGTGAGATGGTTGCAGAGATCGGACTAGCACCAGATATCCTGCTGCGAGGGGCAATCTTCCTTGGCCATGCCTGCTCTAGTTCTTTCTCTTCAGCATCTTGAGATGCTGCCATCCATGATCCGATCACTTGCAACTCTCACCGCGATCATAGTGAAATTCTGTTCAGGAAAGTCCAAGAATAGGTCTTTGAAATTGTGAACCTCGGAAAGATCCTTTTAAGCATAGAGTCAGTGTACCAGACTCACAATAAAAGGTGTTAAATGGCTAAACATCATCTGGCCACGCAGGGTGGTGGTTCAATGCACAGTGGCAGGGCGTGTTGTCTTTCAAGTGCTGACTTGCATCGAAATGGCCCCCCAAACAATTTCCTGTCCAGCAAACGGAACCTTCATGCTTGGGTCTAACTCCTTGCATAACCAGGCTGAAGGATTTCGAGATTCCGCGTGCAGGGGTAAATGGGCCATGATGAAAGTGAAAAGCAGGTTGGACTGGCTGTTAAGAGGTAGATGCGGGAAGAAGTGGAGCGGATTACTCCCAAGGTTGCCGCTCAGGTTAGCCCGATTGTGAATACCTCATCTCTTCTCATGTCACTTCGTTCCTTCCTTCGTGGTTTGTCATGATACACCGCTGTTTGACACTGGTGAAGCGGAAGCGGAAGGGAGAGACGCAAGGGGGGAGGGAGGTCAGCTGGCAAGAATGCGGAAAAAGCGGATAAGGAGAGGGGTCGTGAGGAGAAGGGGAAACATGAGGACGGCTTGGATGACAGCTTGTTCAAATGATGACAGCATTTGCTAAAGAGTGAGATGACGGGCCTTCGAAGTGAATTCTTGATGTGGAGAGGGGACATTTTAGGTCCGTGCCACTCGTCGGACTTTAGGGTTCGGTGATGCGCGGAGATGACTGCTATTCTTGGACCGGGCTTGTGCATGCGGTGGCTGAAGGGCGTCGCAGTGGGTGTTTACAAAATCCCGGAAACGAGTATTTCCGTCCAGTGTTTTGACTCGTCGAGCCAACAGTGGCCGCGATATTAAAAGCATCTGATATCATGCGGGGGAGGCAGCCAGCATTCCTCCTGGCTGATCCGGGGGCCGCGACTGAGATGCCGAGCTCCCGGATTGGAGAACCGAACAGCCACGACTGGGTCTGGCTGACAGGCCTTAAGCCTTTTTGGTCGCGGCTCCATGCAGCTGCATAATTGGGTCTGGATCATCTGCACCAGGAAAATCAAGCATTGGACAAGAATTCCCCGCACGCGGGAGGGGCAGATGTGCAGTACAGTACATACACACCTCGCTTCCGTTAGTAGGTCAGTTATGGTAATTATTCGTCAGAGTCGTTCAACGAGCTCCACTACAAACTGTTATCCTCGCTTACTGCACAACGTACGTGTGCTGCAGATTCACAACAGGTAGACATACCGTGCTTGCGTGGAAGCTGCACCTAACAAGGTCCCCCTGTCTCCACGATTGTGCCGAAGAGATCAACTCTTAAACGGCTAGCCCTTATGAGCCCCTCCCTACCTTCATCTCCTGCCTAGGTCACCTACCGACCAAAAACAACAAACCACCTTTTCTGAGAACTCATGATTACCAGTATCTCCACTTGGTAAGCAGCTGTGCGCCCAGCCAGCGGACTGCGCAATGGCTGCAGCCCTAGCCCTTCCCAACATGTCTCCGCTTCGTGAGGGGTAAGCAAAAGATCGAGCAGCGAATATAGCTGGTTCAACGTCATCTCGACCAGCTGCAGCGTGAGGGGAAGGATTGCTGCGGGCCTGTGGTCCCGAAAAATTGAGCCCAAAATTGGGCCAGGGCTATAAATAAGAATCTGCAGGACGCGTTGCAGTGCTCCTTTCCGTTCAAACAACCATTTTCATCTTCTCAATCTCCTCTTCTCAAATCTTTCACGCGCAGAGACACGATGAAGTCTGCATTGTTACTTTCTCTCCCTCTCGCGACGCTGTTCGCCTCGCGGATCCAAGGTGCCCCGACGAGCAACCCCCCACTGCGGGGATCGGAAGACCTACTTGGGTATTCCTCGTCGAACACGCTCTCCGATCAGACGACGGAAGACATCACGTACACGCCGGTGGACGGTCAAACCGATGACGCCGATCTCGGCGTGTACCTCGATTTTGAGGATTCGGATAGTCCGCAGCCAATCCGGGGGAACAAGGGCGCGACGAATCCAGGTCCAAGTAAGGCTTCCCCCTTTTAAGCCATTGAGAAACAGAGTTTTTAATGTGATGGCACACTTCTGCAGGAAACACCGACTACGATCGCATCAACAGTGACAAATTGGCGCCCCCTGGCACGGATGAAGGACAGACAATCAATGCGCAATGGCCCATGGGTGAGTGTTTTCCTTTGTCTGGTTAAGCTTTGCCACTGACGGGTTAAACAGGACTCAGTCACAACCGGTAAGTCGGCCCATTGCAAGTACCGAAGCAATACTAATTCAATAGGCTCGGAATGAATGAATCCGGATGGGCGCGACAGGAGAATACTGTGGTGATGCCAGGAGCTACGAAAATGGCCGGAGTGGATATGCGCCTGGAGGCTGGGGCGTATCGTGAACTGCACTGGCATGTCGCGGCCGAGTGGTCGTTGGTTTTAAACGGATCATGTCGCATTGAGGTGAGCTCTGTTCCGAACTCGCTGGTTGCGATTTTCCTGATACTCTCACTAACTAACGGGCTTGTGCAGGCTGTGAACGCAAATGGACAGACCTTTGTCGATGACGTAACAGCCGGCGATGTCTGGTTTTTCCCTCCGTACGTCCCTAATTTGTCCCTAATATGTCCCCAGGTTTGCGACATGAGCTTGATAAGCTGGGCGCCCAATCAGTGACTGACCCAAATTGTGAAAAGTGGAATCCCGCACTCGATCCAGGCCCTGGACTCTGGGGTCGAGTTTCTACTGATCTTCGATGACGGTGCCTTCTCCGAGGACAACACATTCCTCGCCACCGAAGTGTTTGCCCACCAGCCTGTAGGTTTGACCCAATTATCAGCTACTTATTGACTACAGCCACTTATGCTCATTTCCTGGTCGACAGAAATCCGTCCTAGCCAAGAACTTTGACCTCCCTGTCGCCGCCTTCGACGATATCCCCGAGGACGAACTGTACATCTTCCCCGGCACGCCCGCGCCAGCCAACATCAGCGAGCAGAATGTGACCGGCAGCGCGGGCGTTATCCCCCAGAGCCAAAGCTACTCCTACCATTTCTCCGAGCAGCCCGCCCACGAGGTGGAAGGCGGATCCGTCAAGATCGTCGATCCGCTGACCTTCCCCGTCGCCGACAACTTCGCCGCTGCCGTGGTCACCGTGCATCCAGGCGGCATGCGCGAGATTCACTGGCATCCGACCAGCGACGAGTGGACATTCTTCATCCAGGGCCAGGGTCGCGCGACTTTGTTTACCGCGCCCAGCACCGCCACTACATTTGACTTCCGTGCTGGAGACGTGGGGTATTTCCCTCAGTCTAACAGCCATTATATCGAGAACACCGGCGATGAGGATTTGGTCTTTGTCGAGGTATTGCAGGCGGATCAATTCTCTGGTGAGTCCTTCCTTGTTCCTCGCTCGTCAAACTTGCTCTCGCGATACTTTGCTAACCAGAAACCAGACGTGTCGCTCGGCCAATGGATCGGATCTACCCCCAAGCAGATCGTGGCGGACACGTTGCGATTGCCGCAGAGTGCTTTGGATCGACTGAAGACGGAGAAAATGTATGTGGTTGCTGGGTCGAACGAAACCGATGCGTCGGCGCAGTAGAGTGTGGTACACAGCGTGTTCTGTAAGCACTGTTCAGCTAGTACAAGTTGCTCTGCAATAGCACTTCATAGATTTCAAGGTATATGCTCTTGAAGCCCTAGTCTTAGACTCAATCTGGTAGTCGCAGGCGTATTGGACTTGCGGATTTCCAGTCAAAGTGTCAACCAATCTGCATGATCCAAGGGATTGTGTTCTCAGCCTCACTTGCTCATACTCTCAGACGACACAGAGTCCTGGAAATGCACACTCCCATAGAACTTTTTCCTCAGTCTGTGGTGTGTCTGAGTTCTAATCGGGCCTCGTGAGTTTACTGTCACTTCAGCCTCAGGTACCACACGATCTCATACGCGTTGACATCTAAATTTGGTGTCTGACACCACACGGTGTAACGAACGTGTGAGTATGATCGCGATTACATGGTTATGGGGTTGCTGAGCCAGCCTAGTCAGAGGAGTAATTATCAGTGAAGATTGAATCTATTCACCGATCTATGTCGTCTGATCTGGTTATAAGCGGTCTTTGAGATTTAAGGTAGCTGCTTTGAGTGTAGCGTGATATGCTGTTAATATTCGATGATTTCTGTCGCCGGTTGTCGATATCGTCTTATCTCGCTTGTGTTACATATAACTTTCCCTTCTCTTCACCTTTCTTCTTGTCACCATCTCTCCTGCTTACCACGCTTATTTTCGTTTATTGTGCCTGAAATTGTGCTACCTTTTCTGGTCTTTCTTTCTTGTATTCTGGTCATTTATTTCTCAACATTAAGTTATACCCATCCATACTATGATGAGATTTATCCTTCTCCTGTGTCTCTTAGCAAGTCACGCGGTCTCGCTTAACTCGTCAGACTCCGTTTATAATATCACTGTTCATGAACGCGATCGCCTTAGCATCTCACCGCATGATTTTACATGGGTCAAGAAGTGGGCGGCGGTTGGAGACAGCTATACTGCTGGAATCGATAGTGGTAAACTCTTGAGTGGGCGTGCCGATGACCGCAAATGTTCTCGCTACGACCAGTCCTACCCCGGTCAACTCAAGCACGTCTTTGGCCCTCAGGTAAAGCTTTTCGAGTACAAGGCTTGCAGTGGAGCTCGAACACGACAGATCTTCGAGCAGGTCAAGAGTCTCTCCACCAATCTCGACATTGTGGTCATCAGCGCTGGAGGAAATGATCTTTGCTTGGTATGTATCCTTTCCTACCGTGCCTTACCCTTCGTAGCAGGGCAGGCAGAAGCTGAATGGCAATTAGGCCGACATCATCAAGACCTGCATTTTTCAACCCGTTCAGGGCGAAGACAAATGCCAGGAGGTCCTGGACTTGGCGCAGCATAACATCGACACCCTGAAGCCCAACATCCGCGAGATCATCGATATACTGAGGTACAAGCTCAGCTACAACGGAATGATTGTCTGGGTGCTGTACGGCCAATTCTTTAACCTTGAGAATGAGGAGTGCTCCACAAAGCATGACTGGTCTTTCCCCTCTCATTTGAATCAAACAAGCAAACACAATATCACTTGTTTCCACAGTGACTCCCAGAGTAATCTCCGAGCAAACCTCCTTCAGATTTCAACAAACCACTCAAAGGTAAATCCTTCACACCACGAAAGACTACTCACCCCATAAGAGCCTGCTGCTGATCATGATGCTTTTTCTCCCACCCCAATACATCATCCACATCCTCAGTGCCCCACTCGGGAATCAACAACGAATACAGCTCCCCAGTATCTCAGACCTGGGCCTTCTTCATCTCCATTGCCGACCCCAACGCCTCAATCAGCATCCCATCCTCATCCAGATCCACCGCCCACACCATCGTGCCCCCCAGACACCGGCGATTCGCCAGCTCCAGCTTGAGCTTCAGTGTTTCCGTATCATCGTAGCTCACCCACTGATATTGATCCCACGTGAGCACCTTGACGGCATCCTCCTTGTAGAATGTAACATGGGTCCCCGTGGCGTTGGCGCCGAGCACCTTCTGAGTCTCCGTGTTGGACAGCACGCCGGCAGTGGACGTGCACTCGCCGGGGCGACCGCCGGCCGTGAATTGGCAGCCTGGCGTCGTGCAATGTGGGTCTTTCATCGTGAAGCTGCGGCCGTAGAAGCCCAGGCCCAGGTTCACGCGGGCGGGGTTGATGTTGTTGCGGCAGAGGAGCTCGAGGGCGCGGTTGATTTCCGTGAGGTTGGTGTGCGCGTAGGCTTTGTAGGGGTCGTCGTGATTTGTTTTGTCCCATGTTCCGTCTTGTGGCATGGACATGGTTAGTGTGGTTGATAGGAAGAATTGGGATGAGAGAGAAGAGGAACGGGCTCACGAATGTCATAGGTCATCATGTTGAGGAAGTCCACGTGGGGTTCGAGATTGATGATGTCGAAGCCGCGGAGATACCAGTAGGATGCGGGCTATGGATGTTCGCGAGGAGGTTAGTTAGTTGAAGGTGTTTTCATCGCATAATCTCGGAAAGTTGAAGAGCAAAAGATGGAAGCAACGCACCAAAGTAATCTAGATGCCGTATTTTCGCCCCGACTGATTCAAGCGCTCCCTGAGTCGCTTCAGCAGCGTCACGAAATTGACGAAATCTGCTGGGCGACCGCCGTGATCCTCTGACACCGGATACTTCCAGTCCAAGTCCACCCCATCAAATTCGTTGGCCTGCAGGAAGCTGAAGAGCGAGTCGAAAATTGCGTCTTGGGCAGTTTGTGAGGCCGCCAGGTCAGAGAAGAGGAATTGAGTCGGACTGGCATCGTTCATGGCCCAGCCCCCAATGGCGATCCACACCTGCAAGTTTGATTGCTTGCGCTTCAGGGCTGTCACTGCCTTGTACAGCGACGCCGTGTTGTTGTTCATCGGGGCGATGTGGAAGGTCTGAGGGTCGATGTACGCGAAAGCAAAGTTGAGATGCGTGTAGTAGCCGAGAGGGATCTGCTCTGGTGTCATTTCTTTGTTGACAACAAAAATCAAGGCAAGGTTAATTACTATCCCGAGGGGTTCTATTGATACTGACATGTTAACTCTAGACTTCTACAAGTACCATGATCCTCTTCTCTCTCTTCTGGCAGAGACTGCTGTTTCTGCTGTTGACATTCGTCTCCCTGAGCTCTTTGGTTCACGCGTGGGCACAATTCAGTCCATGGAGTAATCATAACCGACTCTGGCCCAACGGGAAGATTTCTATCTGCTTTGATTCTGCCGCAACCGAGCGCAAGTTTAAAACTCTGCTTAATGCAGCCATGGGACTGTGGTATGCTGCGGGCCTGCCCGAGAGCTTCAAGTTACACCCAACCTCAGAGGTCATCTGCAAAAATGGGATCTACGATGTCTTGACGGTCCATGACACCCCTAGCATGTTTGTCACCAACGTTAGGCATGCCCCCGGAGATGCCAAACCCGGGAGAAACGCTCAGACCTTACGCCATGTACCTTTCCACTCCATCGGGCTGGGGCGAAGCCCTCATCATAGGGTCCATTGCGCACGAACTCGGGCATGCATTCGGGCTCGAACACGAGCACCAAGATCCCGCTCTATGGAGGGTAACTGATCAAGGGCCCTGGATCTTTGAATTCCACTGTAGAAACCTGGCAGACTTTGAAGAGAAGACGAAGGGGAAAACTGAGGCAGAGATCTGGGACCTGAAGGTCTGTGTGTGAATTTTAAAACTGCCGCACGGGCTGGATTCAGTGCATTGAATTTTCTGCCGTATCCAAGGGACATCATCGGACCACGTGAGCTTTGGCCACACATCGACGACGTCGATTGGGAATCGATCATGCTATACTCGTCTACCACCGGCGGAATACTAAGAAAGGGCCCTGTTTTGACTACGTACGACGGCAAAGTCTGGAAGGCAAACACCGTACCTTCTGCTATAGATGTGGCTGGATTGGTAGAGATGTATAACTCGCCGCTTGCCAACAACTGGGAGCCCTTTTGGCTTGATCCAAGAAGCCCTCATTTCGAATTGTTTCAGTAATACAGCTCATGCGTCGTGATCGAGTGATTTTGAGAAAGTCTTGGGAGTGTTCCAAGCCTTAGGCTGGCAGAAGGGGCAGAATTGTGGGATACTTGGAGGTGATCGTGTTTTGATATCCGTTATTTGTTTAGTAGTGAATCTTGAACCAAGAGAGTCTGTGAAGATGCGTTAGGAATGCGATTTATTGTAAACCGGGCATCCGAGGAACCGCACGAAGTGAATATTCAAAATATCTCCTAGTCAAGATCCTTTCCCTTCTTGGTTCCTTCTTTTCCGGCTATATAATCTCTCTTATCATAACCCTCTCTTGCTTTTCTTCCTCTTCCTTCCTCTCTTCTCTCCACCTTTCTTCTCTACCCCAACTTCCTCCCTCCCTTGCCATCCTCCCTCTTGTCTTGTCTTTCACCTTTCCATCCTCTTATTGCGAATCCTTTCGTATATCGTCATCTATCTTTGGGTAAGGCGAGATCTGTTCAAGATGACGTCCTTTCATCTCCTGCTGGCATTTCTGCTGGCTCTTGTGGCAGGTAGTAAGGCCACTATGACCCCACCGGCCAACACCACGAGCCTCTCCACTGGATCCACCTACAGTGCGCGCGTGCCTATCACTTCAGACATCATGCCGACTATGCCTCTTACCCCTAGCTCGATTGATACTGCCGGGCCTCCGAGCAAGACACAGCCAGGCCAACCGGGTTCATGCAATCGTTGGTACTGTGTCAAGCCGGGCGACTCTTGCCAAATAATCTCGGAGCGTTCTGGTGCCTCCCTTTCCCTAGATCAGCTGTAAGTCCTGCTTGCCACAATCCAGCGACTGCGCTAATAAACACAGATTGGCTTGGAATCCTGAACTGAAAAAAGACTGCGAGCATCCTCTGATCGACTACTGGGTCTGCGTGGGAATTCCAGGCGGCTCTGGTATGACTCTGGTCTATCCCACTGGCTCGTCGAACGTTTCCATTCCTCCATATGCGTCCTGGACTCCGACCCCAACTCGAAACATTACCTTCGAGCCAGTTGTCCCTGCCCCGACGCAAGCTGGTTTAGTCTCGAGCTGTCAGTCCTTCTACAAGGCTGCTCCGGTATGTACTTCACCTCTCCTTTCATCAAGATATGAGTCTGAGTCAAGCAGAATGATACGTGCGATAACATTCTACTCAAACACGGTCTATTGAATAAGAAGCTTCTTCATCAGTGAAACCCAGCTCTCAAGGACGACTGTTCCGGTTTGAGGCCCGGGTATTACTACTGCATCGCTGCCTATGACAACCTCCCACTTCCTCCCCATGTTACCACTCCGCCCCATCCAACGCCGCAGGGCACAGTGAAGAATTGCACCGCCTGGTACCAGGCTGACAAGGAAGATACTTGCAGCTTGATTGTTACTATGTTTGGCACATTCTCGCGAGAGCAGTTCGTGTCTTGGAATCCTAATCTTGGAAGGGAGTGTCTTAAACTTACCGTATGTTTGCCCCCCACCGTCGCGATTAATCTACTCCAGACCTCTTCTCTTCGACCTTTCTTGATATTTGCGTGTTCCACCCTTCTGACAGTTAGAATGACACGTTGCTTAAACCTAGCCTGGATATTATTACTGTGTCGGTGATGCATCCACCCCCTCAACTCGTACTGCCAAACTTCCTGCACCAACCGATTTCCCCACCACCTATCCTCATCAACCTCGAGTAACCCGTGATTGTAACAAGTGGTGGCTAGTCGGGCCGTGAGTCTAATATTTCTTTCTTGCCTTTTCCATGAAAAGAAGATTCGTTTCTCGCATCCCAGTCTTCCGCCGACGCTAACATAATATTGCCTATAGGACCGATACTTGCCTTCTGATCACTCTGGCCAACGAAATCTCCGTCAAGGTCTTCTATACCTGGAACCCCGATGTTGTGGGCCCGAACAAAATGTGCGAATACCTGCCTGCAGGGTTTGAGATGTGTGTGGGAGTCGCTGCCTCTGCCCCAAGCAGTAAACCTACACCTTCTCCATATAGCACTCGGATTGCCAGCAGCAGTGCTCCGCCAGCGAGTACCCCATATGTGTCTGAATCTACGCACTGTTCTGGCTCGGTGACTTTCATTGTCACTTCTAGTCACACCTCTATGCCCGCTCCGACGACGGCCACAACCACCTCGTGTCACGGAACTGGTTCTATCACATATGGTCCCAGTTCCAGGCTCGAGTTCTTCTACCGTAGCGACGGGCCACTGCAGTCACTCCAGCTGCGGCTCTATTACTTCTGTTACGGTTCCAAGTGCGAATCACACGACAACAGTGAGCGGCAAGTGCAGTTACTCCAGCTGCGGCTCTATGATTTCCACTTCTATCGCCGATCACACCGTGATTATCACCACCCACTGTGGACATGAACCAGGCTCCGGTTGCAGCACTGTCACAATCACAAGCTACCGCACTGACAGCCCGAGCTCGAGAACTGACTTTATGCCTATTACTACCATCCACCCCCTCATCCCGATTCCGGACCACATCACTACGGTCACCTACTGTCCTCACAAATCATCGGGGTCGAACTGTATCCCAGTTCCTTCCACCAGTTACAGCCCTCGTACCGTGACCCACACAGTTACCACTCGATGCTGAGGATAGAAGAGGTTGTTTCCAGTCAACGATCGACACGGGACGCATCGAGCAAACATCGGTGATCATCTTGATGAGTCGTACTCCGACGTTTTGGTGACTCTTTGGGAGTTCGGTTGATGATTGGAAAACAAGACTTAGTTCAAACCATTTGCAGTTTTGATTTCCTTAAGTTATGGTTTGTTGATTAACCAGAATGCACATCCACTTTAATGAATTGCTTGGTCTCAAGTAGTATCATCCGTGCCACCTGAACAACATCATTATCTAAGTAGACTGAAACTCCTATCAAACTCAGCCATAAACTAGTATACTAGACAATATCCCTTCTCAAACTCATCGCAATTCCCCTTCTAGTTCCCTAACAAACCACCCCCGCCAACGCCCCGGCATCACTAACCCCCCACCCCACCTCCTCCACCCCGTCCGTGACCACCTTCAAATGCTCCTCCCCGCGGACCTCGACCCGCAGCGCAAACGGCAGCGGATGACTGACCACCCCCGGCGCAAACTCCGCCTTCAACGGCGCATCACCCCGCGGAATGAACCGGAACACAGCCAGCGACTGCGCGATCGTCAGGAAGATGGTATTGTCAGCCAGCAACCGGCCGGGGCAGATGCGGCGCCCGAACCCGAACGCCAGATTGTGGGGGTCCAGCTGGGGTTCAGACGAGAGGAATCGAGTCGGGTCGAACTTGCTCGGGTTGGGGTAGATGGTCGGGTCTTGGGTCATTTGCCTTTTCGCCTCCCTTGTCAGTATATGGTTTCATGGTGGACGTCGGGTGGAGATAGCGCGCGAATGGGTTCGTATGGGTTAGAGTAGGAGAAGGGAGGAAAGAACATACCATATATGCGGGATGATGATCGCCCCCTTGGGGATCAGATATCCCTCGTAGATGTCATCCTCCGTGCACTGGTGCGGGATCCCTGTGGGTGCGATCGGGTGCCAGCGCAGGGCCTCCTTCACGAGCGCATCGATGTATGGGAGGTTCTCGCGGTCGGCGAAGGTGGGCAGACGGGCGCGTCCCACTACGCGCTCGAGTTCCTCGTAGGCCTTGTCCTGGATTTCCGGGTGGAGGGCCATTGCGAGGAAGAATGTGGAGAGGACGGAGACGGTCTGTTCGATTCGGATCAGTTCACGTTGTTCGTCAGGGTGACTTGGCTGGTCCCTAGGGAGGGATGGTGTGACGAACCGTATCAGCTCCTCCAGTATAGAGTGACCCCGCAGTCCATTTGATGACATGCTCCTCCTCCGGCGTCAGGGTATCCAGATCGCGTCCCTCGAGCAGGCTCGACACATATGAGGGGGTGAACTTCTCCCGCTGCATCTGCTGGCGCACGAATTGGTAGGGCTTCTCGACGGTGGTGAGCAGGATGCGGTTCCACGCGAGTCCCGTGCGTTTGAAGCCGGCGCCAGGGAACCATGCGGGGACGTGTTTCACTACGTTCAGACTTCATTAGTCGACGAACGTATCTAAGACACACACACACAAAGAGGAAGGCACACAGAGTGGGATTGTATCGACCAACCAGCGACCCGGGCTTCCTGCGATAGAGAACTGGTCCATGGCCTCGTTGGCCAGGTCGACGAGGGGATCGCGTCCATGCGGTTCGATCGTGTACCCGTACGCGATCTTGAGAATCACCGCCCCGGCCTCGCTGGCAACGCCACGATCAGTATCAGATGTGCAGAGAGGAACAATACACAGAAGTACCTACGTCCGGATATGCTGGACCAAGTCCTCCGGGCGATCGAGCACGCGCATCAGGAACCGCCGCACCTCCACCTCCTGCAGCGAATTGAATCGTGCCGTCGTCGTCTTCGTCCCCAGCACGCGATGCATCACTTTCCGGTAGGCACGGAACTGATCGCTGTAGGTCTGCATCGCCAGGGAGCCATTCCAGCCAACACTATAGTAGTTACCAACCGTAGTGAACTGCGTTAGCTCTTGTGATTCGTGATCAAAGGACTCAAATTTGAGGCCGACACGCACATCTCTCCCGCAAAGGTAAGTCGGGGCCGCGACGAATAGATGTTTGAGCGCTTCTCGAGCAGATCGAACGCCATGCGAGCATCATTGATAATCACCATGGTTTGTCCCAGAATGGTCAGGGAGCTGATCGGACCTGTGGAGAGGGGTGCATTAGGTCGAGGACTCATGAATTATTCTAGTGGGAGATTTGTCTCAAAGGGGATAGTGAAGCGGCTATTTCGAGCATAACTCAAATTCAAATACTGATCGATTGCAAGGTAAAAAGCAAGAAGAGGCGAGCAGAAGCAACCACAGTTGGGGGGGGAGTGAAAAAAAGCAATACCGTAGCGCTCCTTAAACTGCAGCCAGTGCCTCCATTCCTGCACTCCTGGCGGCGGCAAGTCGGCCAGATTGCCAATGATGGGCTTGCCTTTCGGCCCCGGTGGCAGAGGAGCGGATGATCGCGATCGGGACAAAAGTCGAGACAGCAAGAAATAAAGTAGACTCAGCCCGATCAGGCCCTGAATTAAGGTCGTTGTCGTCATGGTGGGACAACGATGAAACGCGAGGTGAGGGCGTACACTTCTGAAGGAGTGAACAGGTCAAGCGCAAGAAGCAGAAAGTACCGGGGGTGGCACCCTCTTATTAGATTAAATCTGACTTGTCTACAGGCAGACGAAAGCACGGACATCTCTCCACAGGAGCCTTGACGTCGCGGAAATGTCAGTGTGCGAGCAGGAATGCTCAAAAACATGGATTTGGATTAGTCTGATGCAGCAGGTGGAGGTGTTTCTGTCATGCCCATATTAATCCCCGATACCGGATTGGTCACTGAAGGTGTGCAGAGTAGTACAAGGGGGAATTGTGCTGTACATATAGAACTGACCTATCCATCTGCGTGTTCTTCTTTCCTAGCCCCCCTCATTCTTGAACACCTGGGATGTGCAGTAAGTTACGGAGTACCTAACACAAAAATGTCAGGGCCGTGAATGACAAACTAGAGTCCGGCTGCGCAGTAAGGTAACAACCTCGGTCGACCGATAAGCCCAGGTGAGCTCCGACGGTTGACATTTTCGCCAGCCTGTGTGGCCGTTACGACAAGAGGGGGTCTGCAGAAGTCTATTTGACAGATATGGAGACGCAAAGAAATCGCCTTCACTGAGTGGCGAACGGGGATGGACTAATCACTTAAGTTGGTTTAGTTTTATCCACCGACGCGGAGGGGTGAAAAAGTACCCCATCGCCCCAACCAATAACGCATCCTGTTTCAGGAGCCTGAAAGACGCTCGGACACACGCCAGTAGACAGGTGGATCCTGTCAAAGCTGCCAGAAAACAGGAATGTTGCGACCGTGGAAGAAATCACAGAATTCTTCAAAAGTGTATCATGGCCTGGCCGGCCATGCCCTAATCGCGGAGAACCGGTGACATGCAATCAAGCAACAGCAGAATTCGGAAGATACTCCGTGATCAACTTCCACGATGTTTATTGCGATAGAATTTAGTCAAATTCAGGCAGTGGTTACGACATGTGTAAATGCTCCGACCATGCATACGGAGAACTTGCCTATCTCATCCTCCTCCTCCTCCTCCTCC